TTTTCGCTGCTGTACTTTTCTGGAAAATTGTTGGAAATGTCGCCTCTTGTAATCTCTGGGGGCAGATAAGGTAGAGAGTAATTTTTTTTACTTTAGGGGTTTAAAATTTATTTTTAAAATAATATTTTATAAAACAAAAGTTGTAAAGAAACTACCTTGTTGACCTTAAAAATCAATGTGAAAAGTAATGCACCTGTAAGACAAGGCAATGTAGGAAGAAAATACGTTTCCTCTTTCTGTCTCAACTGCAGAACTGGTTTTCTTTCAGAAGGAAATGTAACAGTATATTTACATATTTATCCTTAAAAAATTAGAGTCTTGCTATACAAACTGGTATACATAGTTTTGCTGTCTTTCCCCAACTAATGTACTTTCATGCATTTTATATTCAGTAAACAGGTCAGCACAATTCATGTCTTTTTGAATAAATACTCATACATAATTAATTACTCCAATTCCCGACTGTGATTAGATTATTTCTGGTTATTTGCTATTATAAACTGCTTCAATACACCTATTTTATGTATATAAAATGCTTTTTCAAGTAATTTAGTGGAAAAATTCTTAGTATTGAAATATTTCAAAGACCATATACATTGTCAATGCTGATACTGGCAAACCACCCTCCAAAAATCTCATACTGATTATATTCCTGTTAATGGTATAGGAAAGTAACTTTTTCCATACCATTACCAATTTTCTCAAACTTTAAACATTTGACAATTTGGTATTTATGTATATTTAAAATCATTTACTGTTTCTCTAAACTGTTATCTTTGAGATTTTTATCTTGCTAACCACAGTACTTAGTTATAAGGAATTACAGTAGTCTGTTTCCTTGTCTAAAACAGATAGACTCATAAATGATTCTGAAAAAGGTCAACAACTCAACCAAAAAGAGGTGAAGTGCGTGCACAAGAAGTTCACATAAAAAGAATGATACATAAGAAAAGATATATTAGTAACCTGAGAAACAATGGGATATCATGTTTCACCTATTAAATTGGAAATTAAAGTGACCTTGCCCAAGGGCACTACACTAGGAAGCAGGTGCTCCAGGTTCCGAACCCAGGTCTGGCCTCAAAGCCCAGTTCATAACCACTATGTCCACTTACAAATTCTCTTTACGGTTCAGCTTCCTCATGTGAAAAATGGGTGGGGAGAAGCATTCTGCCATATTTACCTCACAGGGTTGTTGGAAAACAATGATTTTTTTCTTGAGATTAAGTGGATGAATACATGTAAATGATTAACTTGACCTGATTGACAGAAACAAAGTCTACAGTCACTTTCTTCAAGGCTGCTTCCTGTCTGGTCACAAATTTACCAGAAGCGTGTTTATAAGGGTCTAGAATGAAGACCACAGGAGTCCACTCGGTATCACAGTGCAGCTTTAGCAGCCCCTCCAGACCCCAGTTTCTAACACAACTCTGGAACCTTGGCAACTGCTCATCATTCTGACTTCATGGCAGAACATATGTAAACATGACTAATCTAGAAGGCCCTCATTAAACCCTGATTAATAAGTGAGACCAGATCTCAAACATGGGATTGATATCTCTCTAATACTTAAACATTCATAATAGATGGCCTAAATCCTCTTCTTGATCAGGGAGCAAGGGACTTCTGTTCTATATTGTCTACTTAAAACTCTTCAGTTTTCAGTTGCTCTGGGATATAGACCAGGTCCTCAACATGACCTGACAGACTGTATGATTTCACCCCCATTAGCCTCTCTAGCTTCCTGCCACTTGTCTTCTCATTAAACTCCATTGCTGGCTTCCTCTCAGTTCCTTAAACATGCCAGGCTACTTCCAGATTTGGTCCTTTACAAATGCTGCCTGTGATTCTCTCCTCTACCCCCCACTTTCTTGGATAACATCCCTTTCACTCTCTCAGTAGCTCTTAACTGACCTTCCGGGAATCCTTCCCTGACTAGGCTAGGTTCTCTTAGCTATGCTAAGGCAACATTACAATTGTAACATGTATGTGTAATTTTAATTTTATCTCTTCTATTAAACTGGACCCTTCCTGAAGGCAAGGAGAACCAATCTCTGCCTTTTAAGTGGACTGTTTAGAGACTGCTAATGCTTAATGTAATTATTGCTAGGGTGAGATTTAGTTCTACCACTTTATTGTTTTGTTTGCCCCTCTTTTTCTTGGTATCTGTGCTCCCTTCCCTGCCTTCTTTAGGATTATTTGAATATTGGAATTTATCTATTGGATATGGGCCTATTACCTCTTCGGCTTTTCTTTTTTGGTAATTGGAGTTACAATATACATAACTACTTTTTCAACCTGCTTAGAATAAAAATTGTACCGCTTCATGTAAAATTTAGAAGCATGGCAGTATTTCAAAGTAGTTCAGAGACTATGAGGGAGGAAAGTCTTACATTTATCTAGATACTTACCATTGGTTGCTCTTCATTCCAGAGATCCAAGTTTCCTTTTGGTATCATTTCCCTTCAGTAGGAAGAATTGCTTTAGCATTTCTTGTAGATTGTCTGTTGGCAATTAATTCTCAATTTTTCTTCATCTGAGAATGGTTTTGTTTGCTTTTCCACAATCCACCTGCTTTTATTCTTCAGTGTCTTCAGTTTATCTAGTTTTTTCATTGTAATTAGCAGGAAGGATCTACACTGCTCTGCTAAACTGGAACAATAAAAATGTCGTTTTTATATCCTGTCATTTCTATGGCAAAACATATTACTAAATTAGAATCAGAGGATATATGGAGTTTTTACAGGGGCATGCTTTCAGTTGCCCAGGAATACTCTTTTTCAATCACTATATAAACAAATAATTGCAGAGGATGATAAATTCAAGAAATAAACTGACTCGGTTCATTAGACATCCCTGGTAAGCATTCTCTGATACCCTCTGTGACTAATAGTTGTAGCTCCTTCACAATCTTGCTAGCACCCAGTCCTTCCATTGTCATGCCTCATCTTACTCCACTGTTGATTAACTTAGTCTACTGCTGATTTACTTGTTTCAGTAGAGATTTACACCACGAGCTCCAGCAGGGTGACCCCGTCCATCTTTACTGCCACACTTCCAGGCACCCAGTAGGTGCTCAGTAAATACTTGTTGAATGAGTGTATGCTGATCCTGGCACTTCCAATCCCCCTTCCCTACTTTTTCCTTCAGCTATAGCACTTATTACCATGTCAGCTCGTTTAGTATAATTACTGTGTTTTCAGTTTCCTCCCACCCCCACTGTAAGCTCTATTAGGGCAAGGATCTTTACCTGTTTGAGATACATTTGGCCTGGCACCTGACATATAAGGTACTCAGTAAATATCATTGAATGAATCATTGCAAATCAAAGGTAAGCAGCCCTTACTAATATGTATGATGAACCTGCAATCATTATTTTCTTTTTAACTCAGGGGAGTTTGGTGTATGCTGAAATTATAGGACACAGGCTCTCTGTTGCTATCACAGAAACACTTTCATACCTCTTCTCCACTGCCATTCTGGTCCTTGTCTATTCTGACTGCCTCCTCGTGAAGGTACTAGAGTTGACTCAGTGTGTCCCACGTGTTAAGAGCAGGGACCCACATGTCTTCCTTCTGGTCTTCCTTCCTTCTGGTAACTCTACCTTGGAACACATCACTGACAAACTTGTGAAGAGGGAAATTTTATAAAGATCAGCACCTGTCATCTCATAGACATAAGGCCTTTATACAAGCTAGCTAGACATTTTTCACTATGGAGACAAATGGATGAAATAGATTTCATGAAGCCTTTCTGCCTTATTGAAGACTTAATATTCTGATTGACAGGATGACCTATGCTTAGGAGGGTGTGTTCTGAAATCAGATAGGTCTCCAGTCTCCACCACCACCACCACTTATGCTGGTCTGGGCTTATTTCCTCATCTGTAAAATGCTCAGTGTCCCATCACATGGTAAGCATAAGCAGGAAATACAGGTTATCTATTTTTCGTGGGTCATGAGTCTTCTTTCCAGCCTTCCCTTTATTATTTTCTGTGCACCTAACATAGAAATTTCAATGAACTAAGCTGCTTAGGAAACCAGGTGATGACATGGCTTTATGGTTGGGGTTAATCCACGTGGATACGTATTTTGTATGTTTTTAGTATACCTCTCTGCTGTAGTGTATTATAGTGAACATGACTGGTCACATGTGTCCGTGACGGCTGAATGTCCTGTAGAACATAAGAGTCATCTTCAGGTCATCATGCTCAAGTTAGATTTTCAATGTCCAGGACTTTGAACCCTACGAATCTGAGATCTTACTGAGATCGTCTTAACCCCCAAAGCCATATCCTATAAGTTATATGTTTTACTACCTCATTGTTGTGCACATAAAATCTAAAATAAAAGCATAATATGCTAATTAGGCCAGACAACCTTCGGATGAAGCCGTGGCAGTGGGGGCAGAGGCAGCCGCCACGGCGGTGGGGGCCGAGCCCCTTGCACAAATTCATGCATCGGGCCTCTAGTTATTCCACTAAAAGCAGAATATGAGGTGGGGGTCTATTATAGTGGGATCATTTCGACTATCTGGCTATGGTGTTCTCTTCATAGCATGCCTTTCTTTAAGGGTGCCCAATGTCTCTCCTCAGCAATATGCACTTCTATGCACGACTGGCACATTGGTGTGTGCGTGCGTGTACATATGTGCCTTTTTCCATTTTTAAGGACAAAAAGGTGCCACTGACCACTTCAAATAGTGCCACATTATTTTCAGTCCCGGAGAAGAACTTGGAAGACACAGCTTTACCTGCGGATCTTGAATGGCTCTTCTCAGAGCAACCAGGGCGATGGAGAACGGTTTGTGGAGGTGGCTCTCCATCTCAGTTATGAACCGGTAAACCTAGAAGGGAAACTTCCTGCTACAATAACACAGCAAGGCGATGTGATGAACACTTTTATTTACAAATATAATTAAAAGCTCTGACAGTTATCATGCTCTTCCTTGGAACCTGAAAAATGTTTGTTTTTTAAAGTGCATGCAAAAGAAGTAAAGCCTTTTTTTTTTCATCATTTTTTATTGTAAGAAAATACACAGTTTGAAAGTGTGAATAATGCAATATTTATGACCAAGAAGATATGGGACTTTGGGAGGGGAAGGGAAATAAAGAAAAAGATCAAGATGATCTGATTGAGAGACAGTGTTGAACTCCAAATACTGAATTGGAAAAAGGAGGGAGGTGGGGAAGAATAGGAGGAGGAAGTAAAAAAATTTGATCAGAGAAACAGTTAAAATACAATATGAAAATAAGTAATACCTCTCCTTAAATTCCTTCTATACACAAAATACACGATTTGCCAAAGCCCAATTTGTGCTACTGGGATTCTGTGAGCTCCTTAAGTGTATTCACATCCTCTGCAACAGCAGAAAATGATTATGATACAATCAGAATATGCTGAAGACAAGTTAAACTCTTGCCAGCAGGTTCTTAAAAATCACAAGATCTCTTCACCCCACCCCCCACCCCCATCCCCAAAAAAGTAATAATATGTCACCACTGATATGTACATCACAATTAGTTTCTGTAAAATGTATCAAATTTTCAATCTTTAATAAAACTTTGTTTTTTTTTAATTCCTGATGAATAAATACCAAAAAAATAAAATAAAATAAAATAATGCAGCAGCTAGTTAAGGTGTAAGGCTGCGGATATTGTGTCTCTCTCCCCCTTGGCATTTATTATTATTTTTTTGCTTTACTTTCACAGATTGGTGGTAATGAGTGATTGCTTAGAGCAATATACATCCACATTTGTTGTTGGTTTATTGGTTTTTTAAAAACTGTCTCCGAAGTTTTCACTGAAACGTTTTAAATCACATCAATACTGTGACGTGTACTATGAGTAGAAGAGGTGGCCACGTTTTGGCCAGCACTGAAAGTGACACGGGGGGAGGAAGGGGCCCCTGATGGAGTAAGAATAAACAGGCACTAGTCCGACACGATGTCAGTAAGAGTAAGAGAGAGAGAGAGAGTGAGAGCAACGCCCGTTAAAATGGGGAATGTGGTTTTGCAGGGTCTGAATTTTTTTCTGTTTTATTTTTTTTTTGTAAATGGCAAAAAAATTTAATCTCATCTATAGTCCTCCTTAGGAAAATCTAATGTAACCAAATTCCCAAATCCCATTCTGAGGCTCTCCATGTCAAAAGTTTCAATCTCTCGCTCTTGCCTTTCCAATAGATACTTTATTCTCTCGCTGCGTTCCTTCTGAAGGGCAGCCAGCTCTTCTTCAATCTGAAATAAGTACAATGAGCAGATTGTTAATAGAAAGGATCTCCCAACAGGCACCCACATGCACACGTGCACATACACCCACACATATGACACACAGACCCACAGGAACTCAGAAGAAACTAGATGGGGACAGGCGGGAGGGCCCTGGTATATGTCTTGTATCTAATCCATTACATCTAAAACTTGCTCAGAAGAATAAAAATGTTTGGGGCCACCTGGGGCTATAGCTCTACCATTCTAGCAAGCTAAGCAGCTGGGCTGATGGAGGTCAGTGTCCTGTCTCAGCGGGAGAAAACTCAGGAGAAGGTACAAGACACTCGAGCACAATTAGACTGTGCTGCTGTCCCATAGAGAGCCAAGTGCCCCCTGTGTCATCAGCAATTTAGTTCTAGAACAGGAGTTGGGACGATAGTCTTTATGTTGGTCTCAGGGAAGTAGCGGAAGAAAGTACAAATAACTGGTTAAGCAAATAAATGGTCAACACTGCTTGGAGATGCTTTATGAAATCTTTTCTACTTCATATTCCTCAGCAATATTTAAAGCAATGAATATTTCAATTCAGATAACATTTATTATGCATGGCAATATCAGCCTCTCTTTATTTCAATTTTTTTAAAGAGCCTTGCTGGTGATTTCTTTTCATTTAGAAATAGCTAAAAATGAAAGCCAAATCTGCACTTGGCTTCCTCATGCCATTTAGCAGCCATGCTATCAGCTCGCAGTGCCTTTTACATGTCATATCAACTACCCAGTAACCCATGTATTCCCCTGGCTGGGAAGGTGGGGGATTCCTAGCAGAGTAATAGAAAGAGCTTAGGCTCTGAGATCAGATTTATGTAAGTAACCTAACCATGTTGAGCCTTAGTATCCTGCCTGTAGAATGGAGATTATGCCTGCCTCTCCGGTACGAGGAGTGTAGAAGCAGGTGATAAGTGAACAGTGTCTGTCTAATCCCCCAGTACATAGGCAGGGCTCAATGAATGGCAGTTTCCCAGGCTGTGCCCCATCCACCCAGCTGCATAGGACCCGTGGGAACACTCATACCTTCTGCTCAAGATGTGCTCTGCGCAGAGACACCCTCTGCTCTAGCTTCTGGAGCTCACGTTCATGTTGTGCCTCTGTTTGCATCTTGATTTTGCTCTGATAGGCATTGAGCAGCTCCATTTCCTGCTGGAGCTGTAGCCTCAAGGCCTGGCATTCTGCTTCTTGAGCCTCATCTAGCCGTAACTGTGGGCACAGAAGACACACACTGTAATCTAGCTTATAGCATGTAATAACTACGGGAAGATGTTCAGATTGTAACAGGCCTCTCGGAAAAAAAAAGAGAGATGCCCTGGGTACATCCAGAGTTAGGAATCAAAAATAGTACACTCTACCCAATGGGCTACACACTTCTAAAAACACATCTTTAAACATTCTTTCTTAAAACATTCTGACATATGTAATACTCTTTGTAATACTTTAAGCAATAAAACAATTAAAAAAACATTATTTCTTAAAAAATACACACAAAAACATTCTTAAGAAAAACCACACCAGCAGGAGTCAGGAATGCTACACGCTCCAGTGATTAAACTTGGGCTTTGGAGGCAGACTCCTGAACCTAAACTCTAGCTGCACCATTCACCTAGGTGTGTCACCTTGGCAAGTTACTTAACCTCTCCCAGTCTTTCTCTCTTTCTTTCTCTCTTTCTCAGGAAAATAACAAGTTCTAAACAACAAGTGTCTAAGATTGGTGTGAAGATTAAATGAAAAAATTTATATAAAATCTTAAGGCACAGTCCTTGATGTATACCAACTATTCAATAAATAGTTGTTATTGTTATTTTGGTTTTGACTAACATTTCCATATTTAGATATCTTTAATCCTAAAATCATAATACATTTAGATAACCTTAAGTCTAAAAACATATAATGAGTCCACTTGAGGAATACACTATAGTGCTGTTATGCTCCTAGCAAGTAATGTTGGTCCCTGTGGTTGGCTATATGTTACCCTGCTGGCCAGCCAATCTAAAACTCAAAATCTCTTCCACACAGAAGGTAGCCTTGATAATCGTAAGGGGCATATTCTGGTTTGAAGCAGTAAAATCAGAGTATAAACCAGCCTGACAGTTTCTCGCTTCCCTGTAGCACCTGAACTTCGTGTTTGTTGTATACGATGATACCGATCCTGTGTGGGGAATGGGCCAAGCCAGCCAGCAGAAATGACAACCTTTTGGTGAGCATAGTTGAAGGTTTGGGGCCATGAGCAGGAGTCTGTTTAGGGATGACAACCCTCCTGTCCCAGGCTTGGTTTTGTCTAGATTTGACAAGCCCTCAATTCAGCTGGGAACTCTGAGATTAGAACCCTTGAATTAGACATTTCTACCGAGTTTATCAGCATGTATCCATACACATAGACCACTTTGCAAGATAGTTATCATTCACCTTATGCTTCCTTCCCTATCTGTACAATGTTGAGAATACAAAGATGAACAAGACAATTACCAATATATCTCAATATGTTGATTGAGAAATGACTCTGAAATATTATTAGAATAGTTTTAGAAAGTTATTTGCATAGTACCTTCTTAAGAATTTTTGGAGAAATATACTATATAGCAAATAAATACAAAATAAATAATATTTCCAAGGTGCTTTCCAATAATTCATCTTAATAAGCTTTCACTGAAACCCACTACAGAGGATCTCTCCTCATTTTCTCAGTGAGAAACAAAGGCAGAAGAAATACTAGACAAAAGCAGTCAATCTGCAGCAGGAACAGCCTTACAGATAAATGCCAAAGGGTTTACTGACCCAATGAGGTTGTTATCAATTCCCTCCTGATATGGCAGGTCCCTTACCAATAAAGGGAATGAAAATCTGTTCGTTTCTACTCGTCTGTGTTAATTGCCATAAGCCCTGGCCAAGTGGGGGAGAGGCTTCTCCTGTGGGCACTGAAGAAACACCGCCAGCTCCTCTTATTTCTGGCATTCTACTATTAATGTCAGTAACTATGTTATTCTATACCAGCTCTGACTCTACAAAAGTGCCGGTCTAAAAATCAGAGGGTATTCCAGTATTTGCTATTTGATCCCCTAAAAGCTGCACATACAAAATCCATCACAACGTTTTATAAGTAAAAGTAGAGGTAAATATCATGTCTGTTTTGTAAAATGAATTAAACTGAAGAAAAGAATGTGATAGAGGCAGCATAACGTAGTAGTGGCCAAGCATACAGGCTTATAAGCTCACCTGAAAACAGGTTCAAATCTTAGCTCCTGCTCCAGTTAGTCATGTGACCCTAAGCCAGGAGTTGGCACACTACAGCTCAAGGGCTAAACCTGCATTGCTGCCTGTTTTTGTAAATAAAGTTTTGTTGGAACACAGACATGCTCATTCAGTTTGTATTGTCTATAGCTGCTTTTGTACTATAATCAGAGTTGAACAGTTGTGGCACAGATCCTGTGGTCTACAAAGCCTGAAATATTTACTACCTGCCCCTTTACAGAGAAAGTTTGCCAACTTCCGCCCTAAGCAAGTGGCTCTATTTCAGTAAACCTTAGTTTCCTTATAGGTAAATTAGGGTTGAGACAGTAATGACTTCAAAGGAGTTTCACAAAAATGAAATAACACTTAGGAAATACTTAACACAGTGCCTGGCACATGGTAAGCAGTCAGTAAAGGACTGCTGTAATGATCATCTCTGATTTTCGCTCCTTTCTGCTGCAGAGAAAAGGCTGTTTCTCTCCTTTTATCCAAGGGCAATCTCGAACCTATATTCCTGACACATTATCTCCCATCTTCTACAACAAGCATTTGGTGAGCACTGTTGTATGCCAGGCATCGATGCAGATGCTGAGAGCACAAAGATGAACAAGACGAAAATCCTCTCAACCTTTATGTCCCTATCAACTCTCCCCCCTCTCCTTCCCTTCAGCCTCTCCGCACACCCATCTTGCACTCCTCATTCTGATCCTACTCCTCTACTTATTTGCTCACATCGAGGTCACTAATGCAGGCTCTTCCCAAGCAGCATTTGATATTATGGATTGCCCCCTTTTTCCTGAAATCTTCCTTTCTCTTGTCTTCTGATACCACACACGCTCTTGGTTTTTCCCTCTCTCCTCTCCTTTTCCAGGTACACACTACCTTCCTGGACCGTTAAATATGGGTGTTTCTCAGGGCTTTGTTGTGGGCACTCTTCTTCCTCTAATCTCACTTCCTAAGGAATCTCATCTATTCCAAAGACTCCAATTACTATCTACATGCAAATAGCTCCCACATCTGTACCTCTATTTCAGACTTCTCTTCTGAGGTCCACACTAGCTTATCGTCGTCACCCGGATGTTTCCCAGGCCATCAAGCTCAACATAACAAATATTAATCATATTTCCCTTCCCACTATCCCAATCTGCTCCACTTCCCTGTTATTATTTTTTAACCATATAGGTAAATGGTAGTACCATCTACCATTTTGTTCAAACTAGAGACTTGGTGTCATCCTTAATGCCTCACTCTCCACATTCAATCTGTTTCTAAGTGCTTTCAAATCCATCTCTTGCCTATCTCTCAAATTTAGTCACTTCTCCTTCATCCCAATGATCCCTCTCTGGCTAGCCACCACTCCCTCATGCCCATATCCTATATATCTGCCCTTGCCATCTCTCAGGACATTCTCCACATATCACCAGAGTGATTGTTCAAAAAATGCAAATCTGGCATTAGTCCCCTCCTTAATACTCATTAATGGCTTCCCATTGCTTCTAGGATAAAGATAAACATTCTTAAGAAAGTTTGCAAGCCCTTACATGACCTAGCCAGTGGTTGGCAAACTGCGGCTCGAGAGCCACATGTGGCTCTTTGGTCCCACAAAATACCACGTGCGGGCGCGCATGTACAATGCGATTGAAACTTCATGGCCCATGCGCAGAAGTCGGTATTTTGTGAAAGAGCCACACTCAAGGGGCCAAAGAGCCGCATGTGGCTCGTGAGCCGCAGTTTGCCGACCACTGACCTAGCCTGCTTACCCTCATCTTCTTCTCAACATTCTAAACATAATGGACTTGAATTCTAGAATAGTGCTGCTGTCTTCTCCATCTTTAAAAATGCTGTTCCTTTTGCCTGGAATGCGCTTCTCACACTTCAGCTTAAATGATCACTGTGTCTGAGAGACCTTTCCGTATCAGCCTACCTCTCCGGTTTACACCCTATTAACACACTGCACTTGCTCTGCCATTACAATGAATAGACTTTTTCAATGTCTGTTTCCTCCACTCTTCTTTAGGTTCCATGAAGACACGGCTGATGACTGTCTCATTCACCACAGCATCCAGGATGCCTGGGGCACAGTATATAAACACTCTATACTTACTGGATAAATGAATGAATGAATACACTGGCTTCTATCCTCAGCCTAAGGACATGTTGATTAAGCCTTTTTCAATAAACAGAAGTCCTTCTTTTAACTGTGTTTTCCTCTAGCTTCTCTCTCCTTTCCTTCACTGATGAAGTACTGGGAAAAGCAATCTCACTTACTTATGTGAGTTTCTATCTCACATAATAAATTTAAAAAAATATATTTCTATTGATTTCAGAGAGGAAGGGAGAGGGGGAGAGAGAGAGAAACATTAATAATGAGGGAGAATCATTGATTGGCTGCCTCCTGCACGCCCCCTTCTGGGGATCAAGCCTGAAACCTGGGCATGTGCCCTTGACTGGAATCGAACCCAGGACCCTTCAGTCTGCAGGTTGACGCTCTATTCACTGAGTCAAACCGGCTAGGGCTCACCTAATCACTTTTTCAATGCACTATCTCGCCTTCCATTCCTACCACTCCACTGATTGTGACAATCAATGGACAAATCCACTGGTAGGTCCAATTGTTCTTTCTGCAACATCTAAAATCAACTAGAAACTTTTGTTCTGGCTTCTGCGATATGCTCTCCCTAATTCCCTTCCCACATTGCTGATTATTCATCTTCTTCGGTCTACTTCTACTCAGCCCTCACATGTTGGTATCCACAACTCTGCCCTTGGTCTCTTCCCTCTCTATCTAATACTATCTCCTGTGCCTAGATCTCAGATATTCCTAAAGCTACAACTGCCACAATATAATAATGATGCCTAACTTCTTGTCTTTAATCCTGACACTCTCTTGAACTCTAGACTTTCATCTCTGTACCTCTCTACTTGGATACCGATATGGTTCAGATAACATGTCCACACTTAGCCAATTATCTACTAGGCACCTAAACTCGCCCCTTCTTCTATTTATCTTGGTAAAATGATGACCTATTCCACTGTTATCAAACCTACCTTTCAATGGTCACTAAGTTCGATCTCAAATATTTCTACCTCCTAAATACTTCTCAATCCTCCTCCTTCCTCCCCATCTCCATTAGCACGTTCTCTCTTAGTTCAGGCCTTTATTCCCTTTGTCCCCTGGACTATTACAATAGCTTCCTAACAGGTCTCTTTACCTGTATGTGACACATGATTGCCAGTCTCTATCACACAAATGTGACCCTGTAGCTTTCCTTCTTAAAATAGGCTTCAGGAGCTCTCCATTGCTTCTACAATGGCTTTTGAGGACCTGACCCTGACCACCTACCTGCTTCCCTTTATACTCCTGCCATATCTACTACTGATTGTTCCTCAAATGTGCCATCCTCTTTCGGGATTTTGAATCTTTGCATATACAGTATCCTCTGCTAGGAATAACTTTTCCTCTTGTCTGTTTGGAGAACTATTATTCTTTAAGACTCATCTCCTTGTGAAAACTCCACAGAATTACCAGGCAAGCTCCCATCTCTGGCTTACCAGGACGTTTATGACCTCTCTATTTTAGGCTCCCACAATCCTCCTCCTTAAACTTTGGGCTCACACCAAAGTTCTTTCAGTCCCCAAATGCACACTTTACAACTTTTGGACCTTTGCTTATGTAGGCCCCTTTCCATGGAACCTGTTTGCTGCAGTAAGTTTCTTCAATCTTCTTGGCTCTTGCTGAAAAACTTTCCCTAGACTAGATAAGTTGTTCCCACTTACCCTCCACAGCGCCCCCTCATCTCCCACTTCAAAGCATTTATTATGCTTTATTTTTACTTTATGTTGTCTCTCTAGCTCACCACTCTATCTCTGAGTCCAGCAGGGTGCCGAACACAGATGCTTAGTAAAAGTTTATTGAATGAATGTGTCTGTGCATCTTACTCATTTATGCCTGACATTGGTTGAGCAATTTTTGATGAATGAAAACATGATATTATATGCAATATCTATCACATCTTGCTCTCAAAGTCCCTATGTGCCACAGATCTGTTTAGCTTGGTATTCCTTGAGTTCCATCTTATAAGACACACTCCAGCAAGTATCCGAATTGGCTTGGGTTTATTCAGCGTCGTCATTTCCTCAGTTCTCTGGGCAGAAAAACACCAATATCCTAAATTTGTGCAAGAATCATCTTGAGAGCAAAAGGCTGGATCTTGAGTTTTCTTGATTCCCAAAACTCTTGAAGCCATGGCACCAAACCTAACCACTTACCGCTTGAGAGGCCATCATTTCATTTATACTCTGTTCATACTGCTCTGCCAAAATGGCAAGTTTTCTTGTCTGCTCATCTTTCAGTGTCTTTAAGATTGTTTTGTGCTCATTCTTTGGAGTAACTTCCAACTGGTGATTCTTGAGTGCTTTATACTGTTTGGTCTGTACTTTGCAAGTGTCCTGAAACTGTTTTTTAATTTGCATTTCCATGGCCTGTGTGATAAAGTGACAAAAAGAAAATAAAGACACATCAGTAAATACAGGAAGTCTTCCATTGTAATGATACAATACAGGTGCTGGGACCATCTGTCTTTTTGTGCAGTGACCCTGACCACTGGTCAATGACAAATAATACATATGACACAGCAAGAGTTAACTCTACCAATACTTTCGTTTTTATATTAAACTAGAGGCCCAGTGTACAAATTTGTGCACCAGTGGGGTCCCTCTGCCTGGCCTGCGGGATCGGGCTGAAACTGACTCTCCGACATCCCCTGAGGGGTCCTGAATTGCGAGAGGGTGCAGGCCAGGTCAAGGGACATGACCGGTGCACGATTGGGGCTGGGGAGGGACCACGGGAGGGCTCCAGGGCGTGTCTGGCCCATCTCACTCAGTCCCCATCAACTGGACCCCAGCAGCCAGCTAACCTACTGGTTGGAGCATCTGCCCCCTGGTGGTCAGTGCATGTCATAGCAACCATCGACCAGTCGACTGTCTGCCCCCTTGTGGTCAGTGCATGTCATAGTGAGCAGTTGAGCGGCCTTAGCATATCATTAGCATATTAAGCTTTGATTGGTTGAGTGGCCGAATGGTCGACCAGACACAGCATATTAGGCTTTTATTATATAGGATAAATAGAAGTAATTTTGAATTTATGAATGGATGGAAATATGAATTGTTATGAGGGGAATCACAACTCTAAGCAGATTGTGGCATACTATAAAGCTCAGTTTGTTAAAAGGTTTGTTCATTATTTTAATGGTTTCCTAGTCAAAATCTTTAGTGTCCTCTATTATTTGTTGTTTTCCCCCATTTTTTGTTGCTCCCCTCATTTCCTAGTAAGAAAAAAGATGACAATGTGTAAGCCAGCTCTCACTGTTCTGTGTTTCCTTGACAATTCCACTAAATTTCAGCATAAATAAAAAGGAAAAGTGATTTTAGTATTACCCCTGCCCCCTATTAAGAGGTTATACTGCATGTAGAAATATCAAATGTGCATTTTGTCAAGGAGAAGGTGGGGTATATTGTAAGTCCAAAGGCATTCCATCAGTTTGCCTCACAATCACATGTGTATTTCTTGAACCTCTGAAGGAGCTGTGTTTACAGGGATCACTAATTGGACAGGTTAGGATTTGACTAGAAAGGAGCATGGCCAGAGTGATTGAATGGTTCATATCTATGTCAAAACTGACAATGTCTCCCTTGTCATAGAGCAATAGTCTAGACCAGTGGTTTTCAATCTTCTGGCCCTTTAAATACAGTTCCTCATGTTGTGACCCAACCATAAAATTATTTTCGTTGCTACTTCATAACTGTAATGTTGCTACTGTTATGAATCGTAATGCAGGATGGTCTTAGGCGACCCCTGTGAAAGGGTCGTTCGACCGCCAAAGGGGTTGCGACCCACAGGTTGAGAACCGCTGGTCTAGTCATTAGAGCCCATTTAGCAGTCAGCTACAGTGATCTGGAGGCAGTGAGGGCCAGAGGAGCTCCATCTCCCTAGCGCAGGCACATCTAGATTCATTGTTGATCCCCATCCACATGGCAGATGTCACACTCTTTCCTAAAAGCTTGGTGTGCTTTAGAGTCTTTTTCAATAGTCTTTTTCAATTGGTAGTGCTACCAATCATATGACTGGTCTGACAGATGAAACTTATCTGCTCTACACCTGCCAGGTAGCTTTCTTATTTCCTGGTTTTAGAACCATGGGCTGCTGTTGGTCCATACATGACAATTTTTCAAAGGGCAGGTCATGAGGGAGTCAGAGAAATTGCATAATGGATACAAAGAAAGAAGGAGAGATCATCTTGTAGAAAGGCTTCCCAACCAGCCTGCCCAGCAACGTCTCTTCAGGAGTTTGTTCTATACAGATTCTTGTGCTTCCCTTTTGGAGAGTCTCATTCAGTAGATGTGGGGTCCCGAAATCTGTAATTTTGAAACGCCCAGATGACTCTGACCATCATCATCCTGGAGTAGGAGCCACTGATCCAGGCCCACTCTGTTCTGGAGCACAGACAGGGAAATACTTCCATTTCCTCTTACCTTTAAGTTTTTTGGCTGTTGCCGAAGTTCCATGACATGCTTTCTGTGCAGTTCCCTTTCCCGCCTCTTATTGTACTCCAGCTGGTTTTCCAGTTCAGTCTGGTGCTGTAGACGGATCAGATCCATGCGTAGCTTCTGTAACGTGTGCAGCTGCCGGTACTCTAGCTCTCGGGTGGACTCATCATGCCGGATCAGCATGGCATGCTCCATTTCCTTCTGGGTCCGCTTTTTATTCAGTTCCTGCGTTCAGGAACAAAAGATGAAGGGAGAGAGATAAATGGAGACAGACTGGATGGAATTCACAACTGAGGGAGAGCAAGGAACAGCACTATGAACTCTCTTAATTAAACCCACTAGTGTTTGGCAGCATAACCTAATAAGATTAGATTAACAATCCCTGGAGACTTAGGTTCTGTATGTGGGGCCACCATTTTTACAAGATGGTCAACTTCCCGCCATCACAATGACTCTTATCTGTAAAATGGGAATAATTCTACCCAAGCCCTTCTTACCTCACAGAGTTGTTGTGACCCTTAATTAGATGGTGTGACATGCACAGGTCTAAATACATGTTTCTTCAGTTAAAACAGTGGTTCTCAACCCTGACTGCCCATTAAAATTATGTGAAGAAGCTTTTAAAATACAAGATGACTGAATCCCATAACCTGAAATTCAGATACTTGTCTGGGGTGGGACCATGACATCAATAGTTTTAAGGGTTCCCCATGTGGTTCTAATAGGCACTTAGAGCTGAGAATCACAGAAGTAAACTGATCACGTCTGCGGTGTTCTTATGGGAAAATACCCCTTTTTTTTCTGTATGTATCAGAAGTAGGCTAATTATCTATTTTTTTAAATCTCAGTGTTCACAGCATGCTGAGGAAAAGCAGAGATCTCTCTTTCATCTTGTCCATTATAGTCTGTTTGATCATTTCTAGTTCTAATCATTCTGTTCTTACCACTTCTACTCATGTCTCTCTCTTTTGTTGAAGTGGGGAAAGAAAGGAAACTAGAAAAAAAGGAGGGATAAGTTCGATGAAATTTTTTTCATTCACCAGTTCAAGAATATTTCCTGAATGGCAGTGTATCAAAAATCTGAACCATGTGCTCTGGGTGCATAAAAATGTTTACTAAGCCATGACTCTGTCCTCAACTAAGGAACTGTACTAGACATGTAAGGAAGTATGTGCTCAGCTCACAGCTACATGAGTCAATTTATTTTCTCTACTAGGAATTTGGAATTGAGATTCATAAACAGTGAATCTTTATGTACAGCTAGAATGGAGGAGCATATAAAAACTACATATGTGGTAGCCACCCGCTGCTATAAAGGCTGAGTGATTAGAGAAAGCTGGGCTTCAGAGCAAAAATAAAAAAGAAAGAAGAAAGAAGTGCAGGGAATATATTGATGCCCAAGTTTCTGATTGGTTCTAAGCACTCCTGTAGGTACAGCTGTACTATTGCTATTGCTATATGAGACATTCCTATATTTCCGTAGTAAATTCCCTGCTTTTGGCTTAAGCTAGCTCAAATAAATTTTAGTAACATGCAAACCAAGAATCTTAATTCATACAGGGAAATAAGTTTATGTATAAATTAAAAAAAAAAGACAGAGCAAGGCTGGCAGTGCTAAGTGCTATAAAACAGGTAAAAATCTTATGCTGTGAGATTTCTGAAAAGTGTAATATTACTACTACTTAAAAAGGCCAAGGGGAAAGATTTTGAGCTGGGCTTTAAGTTAGAATGATAGATTGGCTCTCTTCTCTAATGGGATCCACTATGGGAAGAAAATGCAAGTCATTTATTTCATAGAATTATCAATAACATTTGTATATTAGTGTGGATGAGAATATCTTGCATACCTTGGCCTTCTATCCTGAAGATAGCTTCTTTTACTGGAGCAAAGTCACTAATCATTCATTTATGTATTACACAAATTACTTGTTGAGCATACCCTATGCGTCAGGCACTGTTGTAGGCACCAGGGAGAGAGCAGTGAACAAGTACACCCCTTGTGGAGTTTATTTTCTAGTGGGGATATATCAGACGTGCGATTTACATTTGTTTTAAGGAATATAACATAATATCCCAGAGCATCTCCCTGTATCGCCTCTTGCTTTTACTTTTCCTTGTTTAATTTTTCCTCTTTGCCTGGGCCATCAAATGTCTTCTTTTAAAAAGCACTAACTGGCCCCTAGGTGGCACTAAAGAACAGTGAGTCCTTCCCAGAGACTAAAGCTATTCCAGTCCATTGACCAAGGGAAGCCAAGGGAAGCCCTTGAAATGGGTAAATATCCTGTTCTAAGTCACTATGTCATGTTGAACCTTTGAGTACCAGATTTCCCAATATTGAGCACTTATACATTCCACACTTTCCGAAATTGAGAAGTCCAAACTGCATCTGAGCTGCCCAGAGCTCTGAATCTCCTGGGGCAGGGTGGGGGTGAGGGGTAGGGGGTGGGGGGGAGGGGGAGTGCTGGGGAATAAAAGATCAAAGTAAAAGCAAACTATACTTTCAGAAGAAATCAAATGCTTCTTTTTATGTTTAATGGAATGCTACAGGGTGTTGTTCATCAGAAGTGCCTGGGATACAAGCTATTGTTCTTACCCAGCTAATTCTGACATATACTAAAGTTTGAGAATCATATTCAGGGTGTAAGTCAGTTTCAGCTCTTCCATTGACTCATGTACAGCTCTGGGCAAGTCTCTTAATCTGTTTTATTTTCCATAGGTGTAAAGTGAGGATAACTCTTCCACTACCAACTACCATTCTTGTGAAGATGAAATGAAAGAACTTAAGAAAATGCTTCAGAATACATAACCATGTCATTATTATTTTTCTGTATTCAGAAGTTAATGTCTTAAAACTAGTTTTTATAAACTACTAGAAAGTGAAATAAACATGATACTGAAGTGGCTTTTCTGTTATAATAGTAGGTTGTTCCCTTAACCTTTAATTCATACATCTGAGTTGCTGAGATGTAAGATGGTAAGCTGCCTATAATATTTTAAAACATGGGGGAAAACATTACCCAGTGCTGTGCCTACATAATAATGTGGAAAGTGCTTTCAAGTTTTAAAAATGACTTAATATATTTTAATCCTAATTGGAACCCTATGTAGTGGTAAGATTATGAGGCTTTACAACTTTTATACAAGATAGTAAGGAATTTGGGAATTGAGAAACTAACATAAGACCATATAACTTCTATAAAGCAGAACTGAGGCTAAAAGTCAGGTTTTTAGATTTTTGACATTTTCCATTAAAAGATGTCCCATTGAAGGCTTATATTTTTCTGTTTTATCAATCTGTGGTACAATATTTGGAAGAATTCCTCTGCACTAGCTAGACACTCTGCAATGGTTGCTTCATCTGTACAAATGACATAATTTAAAGTATAGCCATGCCATGTGCACACCTGTAGCTTCTACAAATTCAACAAAGTAAGCCAAGAAAAAATACAAAAACATATGTCATGAACAGGTGATTCTGCCCACCAGTGTACTCAATGTACACGCCCTGAAAGAAGTGTGAAATGGGAAACATCACATACTTTAAGCATCTCGCCAAGTTGAGTCTGAGCTTAATATTGAAACAGGTATTTTCAAATACCATGGCCCCTAAAGCACATCACCAGACTTTATGTGAATGTACCTCCTGTGTAAGATGTGGGTCCAGGGTGTGTCCCCTAATCAACCCTTCCTAACTGTGGCCCAATCATTCCATTTTATCTAAATTTCAGTGGAAAGTGCTATTCACTTCTTTAAAAGCAGTTGATCTCACTCAAGTCAAATTTTGCCCTCATGACCACTGAGGGTGAGTAAGGACTAGAATTCAAAATTTTAAATGGAGCCCTATCTGGTTTGGCTCAATGGATAGAGCATTGGCCTGCAGACTGAAGGGTCCCTGGTTTGATTCTGGTCAAGAGTACCTGTCCAGCTTGAAGGCTCTATCCCCAGTAAGGGGAGTGCAGGAGGCAGCCAATCAATGATTCTCTCTCATCATTGATGTTTCTATCTCTCTCCCTCCCCCTTCATGTCTGAAATCAAAAAAAATATATTTTTTTAAAAAAGAAAAAAAATTTTAAGTAGAGATGCTGTTAGCTTAAGACACTTAATGCTTTCTTAGTTTTAGTTCATAATTTCATAACTGCTTACAAAACAGTGGGCATCTGTGTACAGTGATAATAGTGGAAGAGGCTCAACCTAGTCTATGTTGATCTTTTAAAAATGTTTTTAATAATTAAAAGGATTGCTAATACTCACTTTTGGCAAAGATACAGAAAAACAGGTACTCTTTGTTGGTGGGAGTATAAACCCTTTTAGAGGGCAATTTGGCAATATCTATTAAAAATCTACATGTATATACTCTGACCTGAAATTTTCACTTGTGAGAATGCATCCTACAAAATACTTGCATATGTGTAAAAAGATCTCTGTACAAAGATGTTCTCTGGAGCATTTTCAGTAATACTGTAAAACTTCAAAATACCCACTGAGAAGTACCTCATTAAATAAATAATCTCATAGCCATACCAATGGTTGAAAAGAATGAGGCAGAGCTGTATGTCCTAGATAGTAAATGGAAAAAAAAGTTACTAAACAGTATAGTGGACATCTGGGGTTTCTTTGTATAGTTCAGTATCCTTTCCCCTTCTTTTAAGTCTCCCCTTTTCCCAAAATGCTATTCCACCCTTTCTGGAATCAGGGATTAAAAGAGTAAGCATATTACCCAATCAAGTTCTCTCTCCTAGAAATCTGAATCGGAAGCAATGAAACACAAATTAAACATGGTTGGAGGAGATATATTCAAAAAATGCTTTGAGCAATGTCCGTTGGCGCTTGCTCTCTGGGTCATGAACGTTGCTTTCCCAGCTTGATTCTTCCTCTTTTCCAGTGTGATTTTCAGCTCTGCCATCTATACCGTTATCGTTCCAATAAATTTCTTCCCGTGCTAAATCAACCAGTTTGTTTCTATTGCTTTCAAATCAAATAAACCACTGATAATAATGTAACCTTATTTTTGTAAAGTTCTATATAATATGTGAGAGTTCTATATAAGCTTTATGTATGCATACATATGTACAGAAAAAAACTGGAAATATGTGTGCAAATTAATGGTAATTGTCTCAGGGTAGAGATTGGATAGGATGGGAATATCAAGAACTTTCATTATTCAACTTTGTATTTTTCTATATTTGTATTTTTTTCAATGTTCTTTGATTACTTTTGCAAACAGAAAGAAAAATTGAACATTTTTATGAAGAAGGCTCTGGAATAAGACTAAACAAAAGAAAATCTAAATTCTTAAGAAAAATACCCTCATAGAGCTATTCTTCGCTCAGTTAGTTAGAACTTGATAGTAATGAAGTCATGAATATAGTTTCTATCATTTTGGGGAAATAATTCTCTTCTATAGCTTTTATTGGTAATAACTGTCCCCTTAGCCTCAGATTTCTTCCAAATATGTGCTATTAGAATAACTAATAATTGCCAGATGAAAAGAATCCCACATATGTTATTTCCAACTGGCTATTGGACTTTTCCATTTAGACTTTTTTTGCCTCAGCATGCCTAGTACTGCATTAATCAGTTTCTTAAAACACCTTTCTAAGCTGTTTCCACCCAAATCTGCATTTCCCCAAGTCTTAAACCTTAGAAATAAGTCTGATTCTACCTTCATATTTTCTCTCATATCTTACTGTATGCCAAGTCCTGCTTATTTTATACTTCAAAATATGTTTTAAACCCACCTCTCTTTTGATAGCCATCACCACCATCTTTGTCTATAGCCTATTTCCTACCACCAGATCTCTTTGCTTTTCATTAATTCCCTCTAATCCAGTATTTTTCAACCCTTTCCCCCCATTACTGTCCCCATCAGAGCCTTTTTAGATTTCCCCTTCCCTGACCATCTCTACCCCTGAAATGTTAATACCATAGATATACTGTGTATCTGTTTATGTTCTGTGACCTTTCAGAGGGCCTCAAATTCACACACACCCTCCCCCCCCCCCCCCCCCGCCCCTGAGAATTCATGCTCTAATCAAACTGGGCTGATCTCACTATAGTAAAATTTTAGCCATATCACTGTCTGGCTCAAAAATGTTCAGCAGTTTCTCCCTCTTCCAGTAAGATGAGAGAACACAGATAAAGAGCCTGAGCCTGGCTCCCAATTGTGGTCAATAAGTTTGAGTTTGCACTGCCCTTTTCCTTGCCATTTGAATACTATTGCTCTCCAGTTATACCAATTCCCATTCCCATTAAATGTACCTGAAGTGCTTGTTTCCCTCATGCAGGCAAACACTGTTTTTTGTTTTTACCAAACTTGCTGTTTTTACCAATGTGCTAGCTCATTTGTGAGGTTCCTCTTTGATTATACCAGGTTACAATGATTTCCTATTGAACTATGTATCTGCAACTGATTCACATTCTCTATTCCTCATCTCAGTGAAAAACATCCCATTCATCCAATTTCCCAGAGTAGAGGGTTTGAAGTCATTTTTGACTCTTCTCTCTTCTAAAATTCTCACACCATTACGTCCGAATTATTTTTAGTTCTGCTTCAGAAATGTCACTCAGATCTAATCTTCAAAAGCTTATATGAATCTTATAGTATTGGGCTAGGGAAGATATATGCTAATAAAAAAAATCTAACATCTCTCTACCCCCATTGCCTTTTCAGGTAGAACTGGAGAAGAGCATCCTAGCTGAGCTTATTGTACTTGACTTCTGACCATTCCTGCTTACCCTCGCACTGATGCACTCATTCCTCAAAATAAAGAGAACTCACCATCACTCTTCTGCTTACAAACTTCTGGCGGCCATGCAACTGCCTTCAGACTAAAATCTAAATGCACTGGCTTAAGAAACAAGGCCCTCCACATTCTGCTTCCAGCTACTCTTGTTCTGATGCTGCAGTCCCCACACCCAGACACTCAGCATCTCATCAATCACTGAATCCTACAAGCTCTTTCTTGACTATATGCCCATGATACCTCATTTATATGTCTATTACTAGTGCACCTAATATGTTCTATTGTAATTAGTCTGTTACATGTCTGTTTCACCTCTGAGACTTAGGGATCCTTGAAGGCAAGGAGGACAGCTTCTCGGAAGCCCTGGTGTCTCCAGCGCGGCTTGGCACAGAGGAGGCACTCCATAAGTGCTGGATGACTGAATGAGTGAACTTGATTGTAGAGCATCGTGTTGTTTTTTAAGTGTTTGATGTAGAGTCACAAAAACACAAGTCTGTGAAAAGCAGGCTGAAAGCAAGTTATTTTACTTCTTTTGATCCTCCACTGCATGATATGGCTTGTAATGAGTGTTCAATAAAGCTTTATAACATTTATTTGGAAAAAGTTGATTTCTTGTTCTGTAAATGGGCTTTCTCTTATCAGTGATAAATTCATTCCCTGGCTCTTTGTGTACCTACTTTGTGTCAAGGTCCTATGCTAAAGACTAGACAGAGCAAGGGGCTTGCTGTCCCATAAGTAAATGACAATAGTTAGGAACATAAATACCTCCCGAATGTTCTGCTGCTCCACCTCGTGCCGCTTGATCATTATTTTCCGTTTGAAGAAACGACAGTTTTTGTCGTAGTACAGTCTCTGCTGGGTGAGAAGGTGGGCTTCCTCTTCGGCCTGTGTGTGCTGCAAGTTTTCTTTATGCTTGGATATCCGCTCTTGCTTTTCTTTCTTGGGTGTGCTATGATCCTCATTCATCTCCTTCACAAGAAAAAAGGGGGGGAAACCATGCCAGTCTCATCAGCCAGAGAAATTATAATAGTTTATTGCAATGGTAGATTGAATTATTTGGAAAGCAAATGAAAATGTAAACACAGCCTGACTTGATGTTGCCCCTTTCCCCCAAACACACACATACACTTTTTAAAATCAATTAATTGAATATTAAGTGAGAGGAAGACTTGTTAGTTTCCAAGTCTCTGACTTCTCAACTGTCAGAAATTATTTGTTCACTCATCAATCAAATACATATTTACTGAGTTCCCATCATGTGATGGGCACTGTGCAAGGCATGAGGATACAATGGTGAACAAAAGAACATGGTATCTACCATCATGGAGCTTTCCAGTCTAGAATAAAAAAAGAAACAAAGAACCCTATGAACTAAAAATGACTGTGACAACTGCTTTGAAGGTGAGTTCTTGGTTCTACAAGAATGTTTAACAGAAACTATTGAACCTCGGTAACAACTGGGCTGAAATTTGAAAAATCATAGGCATTGACCATTCAAAAGGAAAGGGAAGAATACTCTGGGTAGAGGAAACAGCATATGCAAAACCATTAGGGTGAGTTAACTGAAACATGGTATGTGCATGGCCAAGGAACTGAAAGGCCAGAGTGTGGTGGAGTGTTACATGAGATGAGGCTGGACAGACAGGCAGGACCGTTAGGTTAGAGGCCTTACAGGCTGAGTTAAGGATCTTTAGTATAGGAGAAATGGATTTCATATCATGGTGGGGGGTTATTATAATGAGATGCATTTCAAGAAGATGACTGTTATGTGGAAAACAGAATAAAGAAGGCAAGAGTGTGTCCATGGAGACAGCTAGGAGACTAGTGCAAAGGTCCAGATGAGAGATGATAGAAGCTTGGACAAAGGAGGTGGGGAAAAGACCCAGAGAAGTAGACAGGTTTTAAAGACAGGAGGTAACTCTACAAATGTCACTCATTTGAATTTTAGGGAAAAACAGTCTTCATTTGGGATTATAAGCCACCTATATTTTCAAAAGGACAAAAATCATTAGTATTTCAGCCCATAATGGTAAAGAGAAGAAAGCAGTGAATTGGAACAGTTAAGAAGATGTGAATCTATGGGGAAAGTAAGATGACCACTTTTAGGGAAAGCACAGTGTACTCTTCTTTGTTCATACTGTTCCTATGGACAAGCTTGACCTATAATATTTGGTTAACTACTCAGTAAAATCCCCTTTAATTGCTAACACCTGTTTTATTTAAAGTTTTGTGATGCAGACATCACACAGTATTTAGGTTATTTTTGTGCTTAGTCAATAAGTCCTTGTAAATCAACTTTCCTGTTATAATGAAGGCTTAAGTGAAATATTAGCATCAACAAGAGTATGTGCTGTTTCCAGCATGGAGTAGGCTGGGATCACAACAGGGAAGCTGGTGACTCACTTCTTAATGCCATAACTTTACTATTAGGTTTAGCATTAACCACCACATTGCACACCCAAATTCATATATGTTCATAAAAATTCTCTCCAAAATCAAGAATAAATTATTTCTGGACCATCCATCATTTTGTATTATCCATGCCCCTGCTATCTATCTGTAGTGGGGATCATGGAGATTGTTTTATCATTTCAAGGACAATTCCTTTAAGTATACCAACATCTAAATATACATGTCACTTTTTAAACAGTGTGAACCAAGCTTTACTTCATAAGGAGTAGTACTAGCTTTGCACAGAAAGGCTTAGTGAGGCTATCTCAAATTGGGTTTAGGCCCGTTTTTCTTCATGAGCGCGTTGAGTGACTTGTAAGTTCAGGCCTGTAGCCTCCTGCACTCATAAATCTGAGCATGGTGGACCCCAAACAGTCTTATGTCTGAAGACTGAGTGGGGACTCTTGAATGCTGTTCTGTGGCAGAATCTTCTAAAGGCAGAACTCATGCAATCTCCAAATGCCTTAGTATTACAAGAGCTCAAAATGGTGGCTGCGGTCATATTGTATGCCCTCCAGAGCATGAGTAAACATACGGCGTTAGAAATAAGAAGACATTTGCAGCTGAGAAAATTTCTTACTTAAAAATCAAGGTGATCTCTGTGATCCAGAAACATCCTTCTATTGTGATGTAATAATTATGCTTAAGCAATAACTAAGAGAAAATGGAGAGAATGTGAACCTTCGTAGTTGGACTATTTTTCTCTACAGCTTGGTTTTCTAGACTTTTTGGTGTCAGAGATTCTTCCTATTTAGGCAGTGTGGAGCAACTACAAGTGTCTGTGAGGCCCAACAATTACCAGTGGCACATCTAGGCGGGACCAAAGATCCCGAGGTCCCATCCCAAAACACTTGCTTTCATTTTCCAGTTGAAAAAATAAATGGAGAGGAACATTGCTAAGACTCTTACTGTTACCTAGAATCTGAGCTCAAATGAATGATTTCATATACTAGAACAATGCCCCATGTTGAATTTTATTAAACCTTCATACACTAGTACAGTGATGGCGAACCTTTTGAGCTCGGCGTGTCAGCATTTTGAAAAACCCTAACTTAACTCTGGTGCCGTGTCACATACAGAAATTTTTTGATATTTGCAACCATAGTAAAACAAAGACTTATATTTTTGATATTTATTTTATATATTTAAATGCCATTTAACAAAGAAAAATCAACCAAAACAATGAGTTCGCGTGTCACCTCTGACACGCGTGTCATAGGTTCGCCATCACTGCACTAGTAATTGACAAATAAGAAATCCTAAGTTTCAGGAGAAGGAAAGTCTATGGAACTGGAGGCGATTTACTTGTAAGTACTGGTGAAAGGAGAGCTGAAGAAATTTGAGCTTTCAGGTCCCTCTGAGGGCACACTAGTGGTCTTCAACCAAACATTCAAGATTTAATCATTCACTTATCAAATATTAACATGTACTAGACACAGGGATACTAAAAACACACACAACATGGGCAACAAAACGTCTACAACGACAATTACTACTACAAAGTAGTCATGGTCTCTACCTATATCACTTACTGGCCAACAGGCCAGTAGGGAAAGTAGCTCAAAGAATCACCAAAAGAAAATGTATAATTGAAAGCTAGTGTCATGAAACCAGAGGCACCTGCCCTGGTCAAGGCAGTCAGGAAAGGCTACCCTGAGGAAGTGATATTTAAGTTAAGGTACTAACAAATGATCCTAAATCTTACAAGGAGGAGGAATAAAAATAAACAGCAGAATTACAGTCAGGGAGGGATTGAGGGTGAGGTGTGTGGAGAGCATCCTGATGGAAGAAACACTATGAACAAAGACCTTGGGGAAGAGTAGAGTTTAATACACTTGAGGAACCAAAAGGTGACTGTTGCGGCAGGAGCAGTGAAGTGTTGGGGGTGGGGTAAGCAGGTGGGGAGAACACTGCTGTGAAGTGAGACTGGAGGAGAGGCTGATAGTAGACCATGTAGGGGCTTCTAGTATTTTGATTTATATTAAGAGCAATGGGAAGCCAGTAAATATTAAAACCATGAAGTGATATGACTAGACTTATGGTTTGAAAAGATCACTCTGTCTGAAGTGTGGAGAAGTGAGCAAGATGGTTTAGAGTTAGAACAAATGGTTCATGAAGTATAGTGCCTGGACCCCCATCAGCATCACTTGGGAACTTGTTAGAAATGCGTATTTCAAATTCCACTCCAGACTCATTGAATCAGAAAATCTACGGGTTTATTAGTAATCTGTTTTAATAAGCATTTCAGATGATTCTACTGTAAAGTTTGAGAATCAATGGGTTCCACTCCAGACTCATTGAATCAGAAAATCTACGGGTTTATTAGTAATCTGTTTTAATAAGCATTTCAGATGATTCTACTGTAAAGTTTGAGAATCAATGGGTTAGACTACATACTGATCACAATGTATGATGAATCAATTTTAAGTTCTAACCATTCTAATGGCAAATTGGTGACTATAAATATTGGTATTCTTACCTCTTTTATTTTTTCCTTACAAATCTTATACTGCTTCTTCTGACTTTCTAAGAAAGTTGTCAAATCTTTCTTCTGCTGGGCCAAGATCTGTTGCTGGAACTTCTTCTCATCTGCTGCAGCTACCTTTGCCTGCAAAAATACCAAATATGATCTTGGATGACTTGTTCTTCACACAGAATTTAGCCATATATACTCTCTAATGCAGGGGTGGGCAAACTTTTTGACTTGAGGGCCACAATGGGTTCTTAAACTGGACCGGAGGGCCGGAACAAAAGCATGGATGGAGTGTTTGTGTGAACTAATATAAATTCAAAGTAAACATCATTACATAAAAGGGTATGGTCTTTTTTTTTTTTTAGTTTTATTCATTTCAAACGGGCCTGATCCGGCCCGCGGGCCGTAGTTTGACCACGGCTGCTCTAATGCATTGAAAGAATCCATAAATGCTGAATAATGTAATTTTGGACAAATTATTAATTAAAAACAAAATAAGGAAATTTTTATTCTGATTTCCCTGTATCTTCAACAAACATTTTATGGGAAAAATATGAAGGAAAACCATAAACACATACATGAAAATATATGGGATGAAAGGTAAACTAATAATAATTATAATAAATTATAATAATTTTTTTTCATATTGTTGACAGCTGAAGGGTTATATTATAAAGATGGATAAACATAACTGGTCAGTTTTATTCCAAGAATCTAACTTTAATTGATTAATTATTGCAACTATCAGATTTCACATCTAATATACTGATGACATTTGATTTCTTAGTTACCTGTCAGAATTCACAACAGTTAGACACCAGGACATTTGGGGGCTTCTTAGTGGATTGAATGCCAAACAAATAAAAGATAACCCAATAAATATTGGTTCCTTAGAGTGAACAAATCTAAATTTTAGGGAACCATTCAATGAAGCACTTATGTAGATAAGGTGCTTAAGAATCATGCTTCATGGTTCTTTTTTATATATCTTATCTGATGTTTAGCATCCATGAACAACCATTCTTCCATTATGAATGATCCTCCCCACATATCTACCAAGTCAAATTTCCAAGAAAGAATCTGACTGGTTTATTTAATCAACGTCCATGAGACCTCATGGATGGATAGCTGTTGGTGGAATGCTTCTTCTATAATTCTGTATTTTCCTTTCATGTGGCTAGAGAGAGAGAGTCTAATTACTGAAATACCCTGGCATCCTGTCCCCAGTCACTTCATCCCCAGGGAACACATGTTCACCCTGCTTTTCCACACTTGTAAACCTTATGGGAGGTGCCACAGAAGGCGACTCATTTAGTACTACTAGGGCCTGGGTAGGCAGGCCTGGCTAATTTTGTTCAGTAGGATTAGGCCCATCTTTCTTCACATATAAATCACTTCTCCCATCTAACATTTATCAGCAATAAAGGTGATAATTTTGACTGTCTGCCTTACCCATCCCTCTGTTTTGAAAATTAGTTAGAATCAGGATGGGGAAGATAAAATGTTCTCTAGAATATTCAAACAATAGCCAGACTAATTACTTGCTACAATTAGTCAGGTGCCCATCCAGAGTCCAATCAGCTGTAGGCAAGGATTATCACCAGCAAAAGGGACTATTTGTAGAGCAATTTTCCTTTGAAGAGGACTATGGGTGTGGTAGGCACCGTCCAAGTTTCCATAGGTTAGAAGCATCTTTTGTGCGTGTGTGTGTGTGTGTGTGTGTGTGTGTGTTTTAATTTTACCCAGGCCAACAGCAAAGGATTGATGCTCAGAATATATCTGAATAGACAAGAACATGGTACGCACCTTTAGTTACTATATTAACTTTTTAAAAATATTTTTTATTGATTTTTTACAGAGAGGAAGGGAGAGGGATAGAGAGCTAGAAACATCGATCAGCTGCCTCCTGCACACTCCCTACTGGGGATGTGCCCGCAGCCAAGGTACATGCCCTTGACTGGAATCGAACCTGGAACCCTTGAGTCTGCAGGCCAATGCTCTATCCACTGAGCCAAACCGGTTAGGGCTACTATATTAACTTTTAAGATAATTTTAAGTAGCCCCATAAAACCATCCCTACTCCCTCACCAAAGCAATACTGTTCCTTTATTACCAAAAATCACACCCCTCTTGTCTCCTGCTAACTGGCTGGAACAGGCGTGGCAAGACCAGGGCACGAAAGCATGCGTACACATACTGACCTCCTTTTCTATGATAGCCACTTGCTTCTTGGCCAGCTTCTCCAGCTCGATGGACGAGTTGTTGGCATGCGTCTCCACCTCCTTCTGTAGCTTGAGGCGGTGCTCGTCCATCTCAGCCTTCAGCTTGTTCTCCAGGGCGATCAGCTGCTTCTGGTGCTGGCGCCGCATCCGCTTATATCCTGACATCTGTTCCCGCAACTCGTTCTCCTGCTCATGCTCATGGATCTGCCGTGTAACCTGATTTGGGTTGGTAAACAGAAGTCAGGTAACCAGGTTCACGAAAGGCAAACTTTCAGGCAAAGGAGAAGAACCCTCTGGCATAGTTTTATTTACGTACTATTTCCTGAACACTTAACTGGACCAGGCACTGTGCTGGATGCTCTTCATATACTTTATCTCTAATCCTAAAAACCATCTCACTCACTCATTCATTTTATTCATCTATGAGGTTGACTAATGTTACCACCCCGAGTTTAGAGACGAAAAAAAATTGAGACTTGTGGGGAATTTATTTATTCATTTGGCCAAAATAGATTTACATGTTTTTAATATATCATTATATACAAGAGGTGAGCAAAAGCAGGTTTACAGTTGTGAGTAACATCCTTTTGCGTTAATAAAGTTGTTGTAATAATCATAACCTGCATGTCTTTGTCTATACAAACAACTGTAAACCTACTTTTGCCCGCTTCTGTATATGCTCAAGGTCACGTAGCTAATAAGGAGTGGGGCTGGGATTCAGACCCATTTCTGTCTGATTCCAGAGTAATGCTATTTCCACTACCCCCGGGCTTCTCAACCTTGGCACTACTCACATGGACCTGGATAGTTCTTTGTTGTGGGGGCTGTCCTGTGCATTGTAGGATGTTTGGCAGCATCTCTGACTTACCCACTGGAGTCCAGCAGCACCTCCCAAGTCAAGACAATTAAAAAATGTCTCCAGACATTGCCAAATGTCTCCTGGCCAGAGTAGGGGTGGGGGTAGGGGCATCTCAATCCCTCTGACTGAGAACCACTGCACCATATCATACTGCTGGGCTGTTTGTTAAGGATTATGTCTCGAACAGTCATAGGAATCTTGAATATCCTTTAAAAAATAGTTAGAACAAGACTGATTTCCTATTCTTAATACGAATTGAGAGAAAGAGAAAGAACTCTCTCCCTTAAATCTTCAGAAGAGATGCTAACAAATTACAATACATCTACTTGCTGTCCTAAAGAGAAAAATAACATTTCTGTGATTTTTTGGACGGCCACTATTCTCATTAGTTTTTCCTTAACCCATTCACAAGTGAATGGCCAACAAACTGAACATTGCAAATGTGAATTTTGATATCTAGTTTCTATTTAACGTATTCTGATTTTTCAGTCCTTCCTTCAATTTATCACCCCTCGTTATTTTCCTGTCAGATTCTCTGTCACTTCCTTCTCTTGTATTTATTTTAGAAAAAAAATTATAACTTTAGTTTTGTTTTTCACTAAGCAATTCAGTCATTCCTATGTACTATTAGCCACTTCTCCTCAATCTAAACCTCAAACAAGTTCTACTGGAAATTTTCATGCTGCTAGTACTTCTGTCTACTATTTTCAGTTTATGGGTCAAAGTGTATTTTGTACAAAGAACAGGCTGTTTCTCTACTCTTTTCAGAAGGTGTCCCTGCATATTAGACTGAGTCCTCACTAGCAAGAGTGCAGTTCTGTACCTGGATAGTATTACCAAAGTTCACATTAACATTAGCCGAACTTCGAAACCTTTCTAGCTGAAACTAACGCTCGGTTTCGTATTCATTTCTTTTTTTATAAAGAACAATCCTCTCTAAAGGACGAGGAGTAAGAGCAGACAATATTTCAAGACCAAAAAAGGAATATCATCACCAAAGAGGCACCTAACACTCTAAAGATTATTAATAATCTTTTTTGTTATCACAATTATATATTTTCTAATGGACTTATTTCATAATAAAGAAAGAAATAGTTTGAAATATATGTGTATATTTCACTTCATGTTTGTGCCTTCCTGAAGTTCAACTGTAGGGATTAAAAACAATTCCAATCAACAGAAAGGATACCATTTAGTCCTTTCTGAACTCACTTGTTTTTCAGACAAATATGGCAATAAAATGTCTCTTTAAGGGTAATGAGTTTCAGAGATGATTTATCTGTGTTCTTTTTTCCCCTTATTTTAGTATTCCTTCTTTAATTAGATTTCCAAAGGCGAGGCATGGCACACTCTAAAGCTATTGAAACTTGCCAGCAGAATGGTTTGTGGTCAATAAAATAAAATATGGCCATTTCCCTAAACCAGATGGCCTAAAGATAAAACAGAAATGACTTGTGTCAAGAAATTTTCTATCCTAATTGGTGGGTGAGTCCCTGTGAAAAGGGTGGTCCTACTGCAAACCAGATCATACTATTATGTGGCAGAAACAAATTACAAAGCTCAACATGCTAGCATTGTATAGCATTAAATTCCAGGAGAGACACTTTGCTTTTAAATGCTTCCCATGATTTGAAAAATCTCCTTCTTAAATTCCTACCATCACCTTCTATTTATACAACTAACTTTCTGAGTTACAAAGTCATTGTCTTTTTAGACACAGATAGTATTACATTTCCATGTTTAAGCTAGATAGATGACTGTAAATAAAAGTATAACCAGATGTTTCATTTGTAAAGTCTAACATAAAATTTATTTTTTAAAATGTTACCTAGAGTTATGTATGCCTGTGCATTTTTTACCACTTTATTTTTTAAATATAATTCTTTATTGTTGAAAGCATTACATATGCCCCCTTTACCCACATTGTCCTCTCCCAGCCTGCCCCGCCCCCCAATGCCTGTGCATTTTAAGTTTAAACCTCAGGTCTTATGAATAAACTATTTTGTCAATAAAGTAAAAAAAGCTCATAATTTTTATTATACTTTATGCTTTAAGATGTGTTTCTCATGTAATTTACCTCTTTAATTTTTATAAAGCCTGGAATTTGAGCTAAGATCCTATGGCTCTGAAATTGCCTGCGGAAATTCATATCACCAAAGAAGAAATGAATGAAATTTTCAGTTTTGAGGTAATGAAGGAAATCAACACCCCAAACAATCAAAGCTGAAGAGAGTGGTAAATCCAAGTAATAAATTGAATAAGTCTGAAAATGAAAGAAGGTTATAGAAATGTAGGGACTGTCTCACTCATTTGTGGATAATAAAGACCATTATAAACTGATGAACAAAAATAGATACAGAGGCAGAGCAGCATCGAACAGACTGTCAAACTACAGCGGGAAGGCCGGGAGGGTTGGTGGGGAGGCGGGTAAGAGATCAACCGAAGGACTTGTATGCATGCATATAAGCATAACCAATGGACACAAGACACTGGGGGGTAGGAGAAGCCGGGGGAATGTCAAGGGGTTGGGGAAAGGAGACATATGTAATACTCTTTGTAATACTTTAAGCAATAAAACAAAATAAATAAAAAGAAAGAAATGTAGGGACTGTAGTTTTCACAATCCTGAACTCAAATATGTGATCAACTAAAAGTGAGCAGTTTCATCTTGCACACCCAGTAGGTTGCTTGGAGGCAAATCTCATCCCATCCCTTACTATGTAACTGAACTTGGGCAAATTACTTAAGTCAGTTTTCATATGTAAAGAGGAACCACCCCTATGATGAGATCACTGATAAGATAACACTTGTGTCTAGCAAGGTGTCTGACACTTAGGAAATGTTCAGTAGATGCTGGTTCCCTTCCTTCTCCTGCCAGCCTCTGAGTAATCTGTCTCTTTTTCCCTCCACTATGCATTTCTGGTCATGGGGAGATAGGTCAGAAGTGGGTCAAAGAGAAAAGGCAAGTTGAACAATAAAACTGTACTTGTATCCAGGTTGTAGATTATAAGGATGTATAATTTCTGAACTTTAACTATTCATATACCTGGAATAATATGAAAAAACAAAAACAAAACAAACAAACAAAAACCCATAAAGGAAGACAACATTTTTCAGAAAGTTTTTATAGCCATTCCATTCTACCTGGTTTAATTCCAGCAAAACGTGGACTTACAACACACCACATCACCCAAAGTGTACTATATACCTACCAAGTACAGGACATTGCACTAGAAGGCTAATAAGCAACTTACTGAACACAAAAGAGGAGCATGGTGGCTGATAATGTTACCCTCTTAAGAGATCAAAGCCAACTTATAGGATTAATTATATGTAAGAATCAAAATAATGCTTATAATAAAACTGGCTACCATCGGAACTTAGAACAAATGAAATTTATAGCCAATTCTTAAAAAGAATATAGTGAGTACATTTTGGCATTAGAATGTTGACATCCCACTCTTTAGAATACCTAGGGGAAAAACATTTTATGTTCATGGGAAAAGTAACAGGCAATTCTGACTTATGCAGAAAAACTGACATGAAGAACTTTGAAATGCACACTTATAAATCCAAATTCTGATGTGGAAACAGGGCTGAAAGAGACTTCATTCATTCATTTGTCCATTCATTCATTCAATATTCATTTATTAAAAGTCTTGGGTCATGTGGGATAGGCATACAGATTGGACAATACAAGAAAAATGGTATCAGTAATGATCTTAGTGAGATTAAGAAGCCAACAAAAAGGAAAGGGGAGATATGCAATATTTTGCTAAGCATCCTCTGATACACTATCCAGGAAGAGAACACCTTTTCAAGCATTTAGAAACAGAAGAGTGGGGTTCAGGAGAGGTGAAACAGTAGCATTTATTGCTGAGGCTCTAATACTTTTATGCTTGTCTATCAAACTCATTCAGGTACCCAATTTCACAATTAGCTGAATAATCAGGTTGCATTTTTAAAAATCCAAATGAAGACTCCATTTGTATATGAGTTTTTCAACTGAATCTGTAAAACCAATGTCAAATAATCTATACTTGCTTAGATAGAACAATAACTACTTTCTCTTACATGCTTTCCTGGAGCTTAGAAACTAAGAGTTGTAGGTCCTTCTCCCTAATGCGTATTCTAATATAAATTCACCTGTGTGGTAGCATTCCAGTGAGAATTCCTTCATGAGACCAAAAGCTGAATTGTCTGATAGCTATGGTCTTGGTGCTCTTTATATTAACATTTACTATGGGAACAGCCAATGACCCAGGGCATTAGGAAATTTTAAGAAAAAAATGACATCAGATGTAACATCAGCTGAAACACTCTCATGGGTCACTAATCTAATTAAAATATTAGGATCTCCATTCACCAACAATAAAAACTCAAAAGGCAGGTGTCAAAGGCCCAACAAGTCAGTAATTTTGAAGAACTATATAAACTATTCCCTTTTCCAGATAACGAATCAGCCAGATAGGAACTTTCTTACAGAAGAAGAAGAAAGGATAAAATTTAAAAGATTCCATGAAATGTCCTTACTTTTCCTAATTTTTTAAAATAAGGTCAATAATCTTTCCCTGAAATGATTATTATTACATATATAGTTCTAAAGTTTCCTTAAGGTTTCTTCTGGTATCAAGGTTCGCAGTCCTTGTTTTTCCTTCGTTAGAAATGCAATTGTTCAGGGTGCGTAATAAAAATCTCAGTTTTAAGGTGCCAAATTAATAAAAAAACATCCAGCAGTAAAACCTATAGTCCATAGGCTTCATATACCTGTCAAGGACCCCATTCAAAAGCACAATATAGAAAGAAATTTTCAGGGGAAAACCAAAGAGCTAGGATTCTTTTAGGTATGTAGAAGAGATAGGCTGATAAAACAAATTTGAGGAACCATAATTTATTTTTTCAATTTGCAAGTCTGTTTAAAACATTTACATACCACTTATTTATCTAGTAATTGAAAAGCTCATTTCTAAATTTCTCTCTTTTGCTGCTCACTTTTGGATCACTCTGTGGCTTATTACCACTTCTACTAGAAGACTGTAAAGAAAGAGTAAAACCAAAATCAATCAATATATTATTGTTACCAATGATAAGAAATGAAGAGAGGGTTCAACAATGATTTGTTTGTTATACTAGACCTTCATTTCCCCATGATTTTACTCTTACTTTTATGTCATTTAAGTAATTTTAGTCCTTTTTCATTTGGGTTGGGATCCATGAAAAATGGATAAGATTCATAATATATTTTTAAAAATTAGAGTATTCTTTTTGATATTCCAGTGTCCTAATTTATATATTCTGATTGAAATTAGTCTTTAAAATAATATAATTGGTAGTAGAACTGAAGTACTTGGTAATATACATTGAAATATTCATGCCAATAGTTAGACTGTCCAAAACGGGATGTGGAATCATACCACTTTTCCCTTCCATTATTTTTTTCTCTCTCTAAAAAACACTAGATACAAATACCACTAAACTCTGATAAACTCCCATCAATCCCACTGTGATTCCCAAAACATTACATTTGAAGAGGGTTTTCCACAAAACAAAACAAAAAACCCAACTTACTTTGTGGCTACAGCAACAGCCTATTAGCTACTCTTTTTAACTTAATACAGGGGCAGGGGCCTTTTAGCAAATCAAAAGTCCACCAGAGAGACAGATCCCAGCTGTTCTCAGGAGGGGCACTATGAAGCCTGTAGAAGTCAGAGGGGTTCCTGAGGACATTGCCCACAGCCCTGAGGTGGCCTAGTAGGGAAGCAGCTTTCATTTTCCACAGAGAGGGAGACTGTGATGGCTGATGTACACAGAGCAGCGCCGGGTGAGCTCACAAATGCAAGCGTAAGATCATCCTGGCATGGCAGTAGTAGTATCTTACTTACTAGGAGGTAGGAGAGGTCATGAATATATGATGTGGGAATGAGGGTGTGGCAAGTGAGAAGAGAAGAGCAGAGAACCAGCCCTCGAGAGGGGAAATCCACTTGGTATAATGTCTGCTTCACATTCAAAACCTGCTTATGGTGCTCTGATTCTCAGTGGTTGTTCATCTTTTTCCTCTCATTTCAACATGAACAGGTCTGAATAAAGGTTACAAGTCTCACAAGAGTCGGTGGTAAGTAGTAACATTCCATAAATACCATATTTCTTCTTTTGTCAGATATCGTGGCATGAAGATATTTATTATTTAATATTTCATGCTTTATTTAGACTCAGAAGCATGTTTTTAAGGTGCTTAACAATCACTAGCAAATACATAGTGGACATTTTAAGATCTCCATTACACAGTATAGCATTCATTTAAAATGAAAAATTGTTCATTAAAGAGATTACAAAGAACTTCTATACAAAGAAACTTACAAACAGGCTTATTATTTATAAGGAGTCTACATTAAATTGCTTGCTTTTAAATAGCAGCAGGCATAGCAATATGTGGGTACTTTAAGTCACATTTTCCTTATATTTGGCTTTTTAAAGATTATAATCCATTATTAATTCCAAAGATAATCGAAGCCTCTTAAAGACTTGAGAAATAAAAGGCAAATCAGGTTTAAAAAATAGGACAAGAAAAATAATCATTTCTGGGTCGGCCTTGGATGATGTCATCATAGGTTCTAAATGTAATAGCCAGGCAGTGTACACTAACTCTTCCTGCACATGTAACCTCTAACATCAATTTGGGCAAAACAACTAATATTTCAATAATTTTTTGGCCGAGAAATGAGATTCAGAAGCAAAAGATTAAAGAGAGTTTAGAGTGCCAAGGATGAAACGATATGAGAGAGTGTGTGTGTGTGTGTGTGTGTGTGTGTGTGTGTGTGTGTGTGTGTGAACGCGCACGCGCACGCGCTGGGGACCAAGGGGAGGAGGCATGAAAACTAACTCTTCCAGCACACACCCCTTTTGCTACTACAAGGGCATCCAGCAATCACATTTGCAATAGTAAAAATGCTGAAGGATCCTACAGTATTTTTTCTTCCACAACCATCCCTATCCTCTCCTACAAAGCCCTTCTTGCTTTATTGGTGCCGGGAAATTCTTCAGGGGTTAAATGGGGAAGTGCAGCCACTACCATTGTTGCAATAAATAAATGAATGAACCAGAACGAACCAGCAATCCATCCCTAGGAAGCAAGTTATCTTATTTTCTACAATTATACACAGTAGCTGGCAACCATATATTTGAAAAAATTGTGTTTTACCTTTTGATATCTGTGTATACATTATTGATATACATGAATCTATATAAAAAGAAGCTTAGTGCCCTGCATACACATACATCAAATCCCTCTAAAATATTTTTAGCATTATTATTTTACTGAAAAGACAGTTTTTTAAAAATTAGATATAATAGCAATTTCATCTTAAAGGCCTTTTATTTTGCACATACAACATATATAAATACACACACACACACACACACACACACACACACACACACACAAAGGTTTCCCCCCCACCCCCCATGCCGTAGACAATGCTAAAATATCTGAGATCAGGTTGCTATGCCAACAGATTTTTTCTAAAATGAATAAAATTATTAGGAGGGAGAAAACATTCTTGACTCCTTTCCTCCCATCCATGAAGCCGAGAGAGGCTCAGGGAGGGCGAGAGGCTGCCAGATGGGGAGGAGGGGAAGGAAGGGAAGGTGAGTAGAGGGGTGTTTGCTTACCAAAGATGCTGATTTGATCGTGGCAAAGCGCTCTCTGTTCCGGTAGTGGAGGGCCTGGCTCTGAACTGACTGGGTAGGCCGTGGCTCAGGCCTGGGATCGCCGTGGCCCGCCTCATCCCTTATGAATACATGATCCTGCAGAAATGGATAAAAACAAGGAGAAAGTCCAGCTGTGCTCTTTCCTCGCCGGCTGCCTCTCTCTCACCCCTCTTTCTGCACAAGCACTGCTGTTTGAAATGCATAGTTTAGCTCTCTGCTAGTCCCCGCAGCTCCCACGGTACAAAATGAATAAGCAACACATTGCAGCCTTCAGTTAGGAATGTCAGCTGATCGCTAGTGGGATGCCTTCTGAATCCCTGGCAGGCTTTTTCTTTACCTCCAGAATCACATATATGCAAAAGAAAAAAAGAATAGAAAAAACAATGCAATGTACAGACTCCTTAGAACAGTTTGTTTAAAACGCTGTAACCAGATAATTCCTTTAAAAATGTCATGTCCATGTCTAGCAAGGAGGATGCTGGTTGCTTTTAACATAAAAGCGAGCCTCCGCCTCATTCCCTTGAAAGATCTGCTTTCTCAATTTAATTTTATTTGCGCTCTGTTCGGTAGGATCATCGTTCTGCCTAGAACCAGTGTAGGCTTGTGCTGAACTGCCTCTCTATCTTGTGCTGAGAAGATTCGGCAGTCACTGAGGGATCCTGCTTTCCAGTCATGATCGTACACAGTTCTAGCACCTTCTCTCTACAGCTTCTGAAAGGATTTTTTTTTTTTTTAGATTTAAAGAGACAGGCATACAATTTTAACCAAATGATAGTTTCACAAATTCTTCCTCAACTCAGTCCCGGTATGCTCACCAGTGTGAGAGAAGCTGGAATTTAATGCCCTTGACTGATTTAATCAAGCCCATGCTTCTTGATAGGCAAAGGTGATTAGTCCTATTGTAACACCCAGTGAAAATAACACTCCCTGGAAGGGCAGCAATGGATGTTTCTTAAATGCAACTGAGATGACTTTTAAAGGGGAAAATGCTTTCAAAGGGTGATGTGTCTCTCCATAAAAGATGGAGTGGTCAGTCAGTAAGAAGGTCTGACCCTGCAGAAAAGAAGAGACTATAATAATTAATAGCTCAAAAACATGTACAACCATGGGGGATTTTTAAATAGTACATGTTCAGGATAGTGAAGGAGAAATTAATTCTCTTATTTCCCTAAGGGTTTAGGAGAAACCATTTGTGAAAATTCAGTTTTGCATTTTGCCCATGACTACTTGAATTTTTTTTTAATAATTGCCCTTTCCTTCATTAGCAAATAAAATTAAAGGTTTAGAAAATATAAAATTTTATTATATACTCTAAAATGCTGATAAGTCAAAACACATATATTCCTTGAGGGACATTAAATTTTACATCTACGTTTTTATGTAAAAGCCAAGAGCCAAGATTAAATTTATCATTGGGCTGCTTTTCTTTATCCTTTTATAAATTTAGAATGCTTCAGAATGTTGGGATGGTAGCTCCCATTATATCTATATTTAGAGATTTTTTTTTCAATTTACTGTATTGTGATTTATTTTTAAAAAAATAATTAAGGGACCCTAAATGCCATTGAGGGCATATATATCAAATTTAAGGGATGTTCTACTATACTACTGTGCCATAAGATAGCCACTAGCCACATAGATATTTAAATTAAGTTAAAATGTAAAAATTCAGTTCTTAAGTCACACCAGCTATGTTTCAGGGAGACACTAATTATGGCTACCATATTGAATGGTGCAGATATCATTCCCATCACTGCAAAAAGTACTGTTAGTGCTGAAGATTAAAAATGCATTTAACCCATATTTTTCAATTTTGTAAAATAAATAGGTCAGTTAAATTTTTTCAATGTTATTTTCTGGGAAATCTAAACTCTTATTTCACAGGGAAAAGATTAGGTGTGGGACTGAAATTTATGCACTAAATTTAGGTTCTAGAGAGAAAGCCACCATTCATGTTGCTGAATATTCATTAACAAATTACATTTACCTCCAAAATTGATCTTTCTTAATATTGCAGTACCAGAAAAGCAAGAAGCTTTTAAATGCCAGCAACCAGAAGAGACAGACTAGGTAGAGGCCTGAGGACTCAGTTTTTGGTGAGGATTAGTTAGGTAACATTAAGTGCATCGACTGAGATCTCAAATGATGTGGCAGCCATTGTTTCAAATTGTTATGACTTGATTTACAGTGATAACCAGTGACACTAGAATCCACACTCCTCACATAATACAATAAAACAAAACAAATTTATGTGAAAATATGTATAATTTTAATATTATTACTTTAATTTCTCTCATAAAAATGAACACGTTTGAATTAGGATCCAGCTTATCAAATTAAAGTCACATTCTATTAGCTAAGTTTTTAAACTCAAGGAGCTTGGAATACACTGGACAAATTAAAACTTAAAAATCATAGTGATTTTGGTTGACACATAGCTAATTAGATAACCCAGTAAGGTCTATTTTTAAAATAATGCTATTTTAGAAGTTAGTCTGAAGAATACATATAAAATTTTAATATACTTTAAATATAATGCTGTTTCTTTACTTACTACCCATATTTTTTCTTTTAAAAAAGAGTTTTTAATTTTCCATAGCAATTTCATAACAGATGACCAACATTAAGGTATGCAAGAGAACCCAAAATGGGACAAACGAGTAGGTATTTATTTCAAGTACATAGGAAAGTGAATTTTAAAACAGTCAATTCTTTTGCATAAAACAAGTTCAAAACTCTGAAGACAACTTAAATAATGAATCCACTGAGAAGCAAGTATGAGCAAATTAAACTAACAACTTCACCAGGATATACTGTCTGTTGATTATTGTCCCTTTAAGTAGCAAGCAGTCCCTTTGAAAATGACTATACTTGGCTCCCAGTTTCTGAATTAAACACATTTTAAGGCTAATAGTGGAAAAGGTCAGTTTGCTATTTTATGCAGTTAGGCACCTGTGAAGATTATTTACAAATGATGGGAGGGCCATCTTCTTTGATGTTGAAAAATGATTTTAGAATATGAAGAACAATTATCATGTTCTACTTTATCAAGACAAAATAGCCCTGGCCAGTGTGGTTCAGTTGGTTGGAGTGTTGTCCCATACACTGAAAGGTTGTGGGTTCGATTCCCGGTTAGGGCACATACCTAGATGCGGGTTTCGCGGTAAGGGCGTGTATGGTAGTAAACCGATCAATGCTTCTCTCTCTCTAAAATAATAATAATAATTTTAAAAAACCGATATCTCTGTCCTGATTTGTTTGGCTCAGTGGATAGAGCGTCGGCCTGCAGACTCAAGGGTCCCAGGTTTGATTCCAGTCAAGGGCATGTACCTTGGTTGCGGGCACATACCCAGTAGGGAGTGTGCAGTAGGCAGCTGATTGATGTTTCTCTCTCATTGATGTTTCTGGCTCTCTATCCCTCTCCCTTCCTCTCTGTAAAAAATCAATAAAATATATTTAAAAAAAAACCATATCCTTGGGTGATTTTAATTGTTTTCAAAACAATTAAAAAATATTGCTTAAAAATACAAAATATATATCTTGGTTATAATTTATCTTTAAAACATTATCATCCGGGAACAAACAAACTAGCTTTTTGAAATACCAATATGATCTAGGACCAGTTTTAAGTAAATCTATGTTAATTTGGTAAATTTATAACATTCTTTCATCATAAGTAATAAAACTTCTTCAGATTAAAAAACAGCTGGTGTAATATCTGTTCCAAATCTTCAGTCAAAAGAATTGAACTTTTATAACAACATAGTGAAGTATGTGAAACATGAGGCACGCACTTTTTACTATTATACCCTGGACAAGGGGCTTTACTTTTAGTTAGAAGTTTTCTCTAAGTGTCTGAATAGTTATGCTTCCAAATTGAAGATTTATGGCGTAGCCCCTTGTTTAGAGCTTAACTCAAAATTAATTCTAGAAATCACTCCTATCAACTCTAAGTTTTGGATATGCCTTTATCACACTACTCAACACATTTACTTATCTGTCTATACAAGAAATTGTGGGAGTTTTGAAGGCAGAGGAAATGTGGTTTGAAAAATCTCAGTCACTCTAGCACCTAGCATATTGGTTGATTACTAGGTATTCAATAAATTTTTGCTGGATAAGTAAGCTTTAGAATATAGGCCTGAGATGTTAGAAAAATGGCATTTTCTCTTATATTATTTAACAAAATTCAAATCTGTATTTCACAAAAACCTGTCACTCTATACTCCAAGAAAGTTGTATAATAGTCACACACACACACACACACACACACACACACACACACACACACACCTTTACATGGGGGAGAGAGGGGAACCTAAAAATGGCTTTTATCTGGTGACAAGAAACCTTTCTATAGATTCCAACACTTTTCATGCTGTGGAGAAAGGACCAGCAAACCCACCATCTCTCTTTTGTTTTGTTCATTTCAAAATTATTAAATTACTGCCTAAGCAGGTATAGCTGTCAAAACCTGGGGATAGAGGAAGGGGAGAAGTTGGGAAAGGATACCTTAAGCTGGAAGGATAGCCATTAGGGAGAAAAATGACTAGCAGAAAGCTGAGGATACAGATGTTACTATAGAGAGGGGGTTTGCAGAGTGATCGGTTTAAGAAACATTACCTTCATATGTTAATTTACTTTTACTTTGCCAAATGTGAGTTGAAGAGTCAAAGAACCTGCCCTGCTCTTCAGCAAAAATAATAGGAAAGGCCACTGAAGCAAGGGAAAATTAAACTAGAACATCCTATTCCCTCAAGGATATTTCTTTTTTTTTGTTTTTCTTCCACGAAATTGGTCAGAGCTGTTCTTTTTTTAAAAGAAGGGGGCGGGGGGGGGGGGAATGACTAATAAGAAGGGCCAAGTAAAGCTTTAGGAGTTAGGATAGAATGATTTTTAGAAATAATCGCTGAAAGGGGGCTATGATGACTAGAGTTCTTTAGGGATATCTAAAATAATGAATAAATGCAGAAAAACTTTTAATATATTAAAATGTAATGAGCTATATGAATAGAAGGCAGCAGCAGGCAAAGATAACTAATTTTAGACTTTAACAAAATAAAGTATACCTTTTAGTTGACAAATTCAGAAAACAG